TTATTTGACAGAGAGAGACACAGCGAGAGAGGGAACACAAGCAGGGGGAGTGGGAGAGGGAGAAGCAGGCTTCCCGCAGAGCAGGTAGCCTGATGCGGGACTTGATCCCAGGACCCTGGGACCATGACCCGAGCCGAAGGCAGACACTTAACGACTGAGCCACCCAGGCGGCCCTGATTGTTTCTTTAGGGTAAGCTAGTAGACATGGAAGTACTGATTTCATTTTGAGGGAAACTGAGGCCCAGGGTGGGGCAGTGAGTTGATAATGGCTGTCTAACTCTGGGCTCAGGGCCATCTGCACGCCCAGAGCAAAGACCCTCAGAGAGGCCAGCCAAGTTCAAACCAAGTCAGAGAGGCCCTGGGAAACGAAGTGCAAACCCAGCAGGCAAAGCACTTTCTGTAGAGTCCGTGTTTCATGGGAAAGGAGACTCAGAAGGCAGCACCCGGTAATGGGGGTCTTTGCCCAATGACAGCATTTCAGCAAGAGAGCCAGTTTGCCCCAGCAATGTATCTCATCATGGACAGTTGGGTAAATGGAGGGACATGGGCCTGCCAACGGCCAGTGAAACACTGTTGCTATGTCTGGGCATCTGGGCATTTTGGAGACACTGGGAGAAGGGGGGATGCATTCAAGACTTTAACAACACATTTCAACAATAACTTAGGGCATCCATCCAAAAATACCCTCTCAGAATTAGAACGTGTTCCTTTAGGGCACCTGGGTGGCTCAGTTGGTTAAGCAACTGCCTTCGGCTCAGGTCATGATCCCAGGGTCCTGGGATCGAGTCCCATATCGGGCTCCCGGCTCAGCGGGAAGCCTGCTTCTCCCTCTGACCCTCTCCCCTCTCATGCTGTTTCTCTCTCTCTCTCTCTCTCTTTCAAATAAATAAATAAATAAATAAATAAAATCTTTTTTAAAAAAAAAAAGTACCCCCTTCTGTGAGAATGGCATAGTTAGGACCCTATCACTCTTCCACTTCAGGTTCGAGGCACCACCAGCCTCCCAACCCAGCCCTGTACCTCTTATTCCTGTGGGTCCTCTTCACGATCAATATCAGAACAGGAAGCAGCAGGATAGTGCCACAGACAATCCCCACAATGACCACCACCTGATTACCACCCAGGATCTCAGGTCTGAGGGCTACTGGGGTCACCAATGCTTGGGAAAGGAGAAAAACAATGAGAGGGTCTCAATAATCCAGAAAAGAGCGGTGAGTCCCACCAGTTCTATACCAAGTAGCCACAGCCAAGTCAGGAAGTTGGGGGAGAAGGCCAGACTCCACCCCGTGCTGAAACACTGGGACTCCAGCTGTCCCCATTCGATGCAGAACCAGGTCTGGCCCCCTTGCTTATCCCTAACTACAGTGTAGATTAAGGTGGGTGGGAGAAGAGAATAGCACTTTACCTACAGCAGAGTTTCCTTTGACATTAACAATTCTATCTTAAAGTAAAATAACAGACGTTTTAGAGGCTGCAGATCCTTCTATAAGAAAGTGGTTGGTTTCAAAAGGATATACACTCAGCCCCATAGTCATGATACCAAGGAAGGCACTTCCACCCAATGAAGAGGTACCCTTCATTCATTTCCTCAATTCACTCTAAATACGTACATAAACACTCCTGGGTGCCATTTACACTAGGCAAGGAAGCTTCAAAGACAAATAATGCATGGTCCCTGCCTTCAAGGAGAGGGACAAACATGTCGACGGAAAACCACAGACTGCTATGGGGGCCATGATGGAAGTCCATATGGGAAGTCCAAAAGGGTACCCAATTCTATGCAGAACAGATGAGCAGCTCTCAACAACAGTTTTAAAGTTTAAAAGTCTTCAGGAAACATCAAGTTTGTTGGGCGGACGATATGGAAAAGGATGGGGGCGCATTACATACAAGGTCTGGAGGCCCAAGAGGATGGTATGTTCAGAAATTAGAAATAGTTCCAGGGGTCTGGCTCAAGGCTGCATTTTTGCGCATGGTGGGGAATTAGGCTGGACAGATAGCAGAGTCTCGGTCATGAAGGGCCTTGATTATCTCACCCAGGAGTCTGGCTTTCTTTCTGTAAATGATGGAGGAACCAACCACTGAAAGACTCTGAGCACCGGGAAAGAACGTTGAGATTTGTGATTTAGAGCAAATGGCACGGAGAGCTGCAGGGAGAATGCGAGCAGGGGCGGAGAATGAGAGCAGACACCGGCTAGAAGCTTACAGGCCAAGACAGAGAGGAAGATAACTAGAGCGTGGTGTAGGACTGGAAAGAAGGCAGACTCAAAGTCAGTAGTAGAAATGACAGGACTGGTTGACCTGTGAGACTGGGGGGTCACGGGAAAGGAAAGAATGAGGTACAACTCCCAGGCACCCAGCGAGGTAGCTGTGTAGATGGTGAAGGTGTTGACTGAGGTGGAGATGAGCTGGGGAGAGGTGTGCAGGAGGAGGTCTGGGTATGTTGCATTTGAAGTATCTGTGGAATATTTGGCTAGAATTTGATGGATACATACATGGATTAGACAGAAGGAAGGAAAGGCGGGTGGGAGGGAGGGGGGAGAGGGAGGAAAGAAGGAAGGAAGAATGAATCCAACATAGAATATATTGTATAAATAAAGAATACAGTGTCCAATACTACTCGGGCAAAGAAGGCTGAGGGTGGGTAATTAGAGCCACACTGGTGACCTAAGCCAGAGCAGAGGCAGAAGCAGAAGCTGGGATGCAATGCACTAAGGCATTAATGGGAAGTGAGAGAGGAGGCAACACATTATGGCCTCTTAGCAAGCTACCTGGCTGGGTCAAGAAAGAAATAGATCATTGATGGTGGTGAAGGATGCACAACTCTGAATATACTAAAAATCACTGAGTTGTAGGCTTTAAATGGGTGAATGTATAGGATGTGAGTTATTTCTGTTTTAAGAAGAAGACACAGGATGAGAGCTAAAGTAGACAAGGACAGAAGGTGAGAGGAAGAGGTGAGCATATTTATTTGTTGTGGTTTTTTTTTTTTATTTATTTGAGAGAGAGCACACACGTGAGCACAGGCAGGGGGATCGGCAGAGGCAGAGGGAGAAGCAGGCTTCCCGCGGAGCAGGGAGCCCGATGCGGGGCTCGATCCCAGGACCCTGGAACCATGACCTGAGCCGAAGGCAGATGCCCAACTGACTGAGCCACCCAGGTGTCCCTATTTTTGTTTGTTGTTGTTGTTGTTGTTGTTGTTGTTGTTTTGAGGTGAGCATATTTATAGGCTGGACAGCAGAAGCCAGTAGAAAGCGCGAGGTTCCTGAGACAGAGAAAATGAGCACTTAACTGAGCACAGAGGTTTGGATAAGCCCAGGGCGGAAGGGAGCCTGGCATGGTGGGACAGACAGAGAGGTGAGGATGCGGGCAGATGTAGTTAGGCCTGGGTGGGGGGGGTAATAGGGGGGCTTGGGGGTTGAGTGAGCTCCCACTCATGGTATGTATTTTCTCTGTGAAGTGGGAATAAGACTTCTGAGAGTGAAGAAATCCATCTGTCCCTCTTCCCCCTACAGCTGGGACCCTTTGCTATGTCTTACAAGAAGGCGTCTCCAGAGATTCAAGTCTCTGGTCAGAGGTAGTGAGGTGTGTTCCCTCCTCACCCGCATCCCTGCCCCCAACAAACCACAGCCAACCCCCAGCGCAGGGCTCTAGCAAAAGGCAAAGTCCACAGGCCACATCCTGACTGTTAACTGTGTTACCATTTAACTTTAACCCCTCACTTATCAACCTCTCTCGGTCCACACAATAAAGAGTCTTTATTCTATACACCACTGGCTTTAATGTACAATGTTTACCAGGACAGAGAACCTTTCATCAGAGAACACCTCTATTTGGGGTTCTGGTCCCTTCCTGTTTTCTGTCTGCTCTGTGCTGTCTCTCACCAGCTCAGGGTCATTTTCCCTTCTGCTACAGAGCATACAGCATCCGAGGAAAAAACATCTTGGACATCAGCTCCAATCCATCTCTGAGCTCCTGCATCTTTAGATCGGTACATTACACGGGCAGGGAGTGAGTTCTGGCGGTAGGCTGGAGTTCACCAAATATTAGCTCCCTCGTCTTTGAGGTACCTGCAGGGTCAGAACTAGAGGGAGGCAAGCAAGGTGCCTAGGGCTCCAGATGGAAGGAGGCATCACTGTGAAGGTCACATAAGTCCAGGGTACAAGGACTTGTATCAGGGTATGCAAGTACAGCACCTCAGAGTCATGCCTCCTGCAATTCTGCACCCTAGATGCCTCTCTGGCCTCACCCTAGTCCTGCCATGCCTACTAGCTATGAGGCCCCTCATCCCTCCCCAACCAAATGTCACATACTTCGGGGCTCTTTCACGATCACGTGCAGCGCAGTAGTTTTCCTGAAGGTCAGGTTCCCCAGGTGGATACTACAGGTGTAGCTTCCTCTGTCAGACTCCTTCACTCCTTGCAGCAAGATAGATGCATCATTGTGGGAAGTGTCCCCCACCAGGGTTACACGGTTCTGGAAGCGGCCCCAGTTCTCGGAGTACCCCACAGGGACACTGATTTTGGGGTAATAACGTAACACAACCTCCTCCTAGAAGGGAAAAGCAACATATGAGATTGCAAGGACCGAGGAAGACAGGGCATGGGGAAGGTTGAGTGGGGAGCCCTAGGGACTTATAGGGCCCTGTATGTGTGGGCAGTGAAGGTCTGATCAGACAGTATGAGGCATCATGAGTCATGCACACACGTGTGCGCACAGCATGTGTAGCTGTGAAGGACGCACCAAACCACTGTCCCATTGGCAGAAAGGGATAAGGAAGGACAGGGGGCAAGGGGTGTTCCCTTTTGTACTTCTCCAGTAAAAGGAAGTAAAAGTACACCTTTACTTCTTAAGGCATTTCCAGTTGGATTTCCAATAGGCACTTGAAACATGTCTAAAACTCAACTCCAAATTATTCCCCCAAACCAGCTCCTTCCAGTCCATCTCTTTTTGGTAAACGGCAAAGCCTTACTCCAGATGCTCAGACTAAAAATCTTGGAGTCATCCTTAACTCCTCTCTTAAACTCACATTGAAAATCCCGCAGCAAATCCTGTCACCTCTACCTTCAAGACAAATCCAAAATCTAGCCATTTCTCAACTCTTCCATGGTTACCATTCTGGTCCAAGCCACCTCATCTCTCACCTGAATTCCTGCAAGGAGCTTCCTTACTTGTCTCCCTGCTTACTCCTAACTACAGTCTATTCTCAGCAGGTGAGCCCTTAGAAATAGAAGTTAAATCATGTTACTCCTCTACTCCAAACCCTCCGATGGCCCCCCATTTCTACTAAAAGTACAAGGCCCTCCATGATCTGCCCACTCCATCTTCCTTTCTGATTTCATCTTCTACTTTTTCTTCCCTCACCTACCTGGGTCACTTTACTCCATCCACACTGGGCTTTTTGCTCTCCTTGAGTATTGGCCTCAGGGCCTTTGCACTTGCTACTCTCTTTGCCTGGGATACTCTTCCCCCCAGAAATACACATGGTTCGCTCCCTCACTTCCAGCAGATCTCTGCTCAAATGTCATCTTTTCAGGGAGGTCTCTCTGACCATCCATGTAAAACAAGAAGCTCAAATGCCCGCTTTCTTGTTCTCCATAGCTCTTGCTATTACCTGACATACCACATATTTACTTCCTCCTTATTTTACTGTGTATCTCCCTTAATCTTGATCATAAGTCTCCCATCAAGGCAGGAGCTCTGAGTGTCTGCCACATCAGTGCTTAAAATAGTTGTTAAATGAGTAAGTGTTGGAATTTTTTATAAAGGGAAGTAAATATTCCTATTTTTAAAAGCTTTTAAGAAAAGTAAATGGGTATACAGACACAAACATGAATGAGAAGACATTGTCCCTAATATCTTTTCTCTTGTGTTTTGAACTCACAGCTCAAAATTTCTTTTGCGACCTGTTTTCTGCTGTGACTCACTTGGTGGTTGACGTCTAAACACATGACGGGCTCCCAGAGGTGGACCTGGGACTACATGGAATTCCTCATCCCCCACCATGATGCCACCCTTTCACCCCCACTCAGCATACAGGAATCAAGTGACTTGTTTATAGGGGTGACTGGGAATATGTCTTAATAGAAAAGCTCCTTTGCACCTTAATTTTTATTAATAAGTGACCTGGGATATCCCCCACAACACACCTTGACCCGTATGTACATCACCATGCATGGAGGACATCTAACAGTCTAGTGAACTAACTTGCCACTTGCTGCTTCAGAGTTCCCATGAACCACTCCATACCCTGGCCTCCAGGACCTTCTAATCCCAACATCAGGAGCACCCATAAAGACAAAGAAAATTCCCTCCATCCCATAAGTGGGGCAGTGGGGCACAGAAGGAAACTTTCCAAAATAACCCAAATAAAAATAAGAATGCAATCATTCTTATGCCTAGCCCAAAGCTTAGAGACAAGGCCACAGAAGTCATCCCCCTCCTTCTTCCATAGACTCTACAAAGCGGGGAAGGGAAAAGAGGAAGGAAACTAAAATGCAGTGGCCGAGACACATACAAATATTTCACACAGACGATCTAGTATATGTGTCTTGACAATCCTACAAGATGAACAGCAGCAGCAGGAATATCATCCTCTTCTTTGTCATCTTCATGAGAGTCATTCTTCCCACCACGGAGCTGAAGTTGCCCAGCCAAGTGGCTGAGCTGGAGTCCCGGTTCTGACAAGCTCCAAAGCCCAAGCAAGCCCCTTGCAACAGCACGGCATGGCACCTGGGGCCTAAATTCTCCCTCTCCCCACACTGTCCTGACACCATCAGCCAGGGGCTTCTACTACACACTAATGGTTCCTCCTCCTTACCTTGGCGTGCTCTCCTGATGAGAACATCCAGTCTACCTTGGTCATGCGTTTCTCTTCTGTGCTCTGGAAAACACACCCCAGCTGAGTCGAGTCACCTACATGGACCATGAGCTCTGGGGATAAAATGGTAACTCAAGTCAAACCCCAGGTATCATCTACAAAAGTCAAAGAACTTCCAGAAGAGATCATGTTTAGCCAAAGATCCTCAGCCATAAAATCAATGTCACCACCAAATATTGCGCACATTCACTCCACAGATGAGCCAGATGATCCTGTGTGGACAAAGTACCCAGCGGCCTCTTACTCCCAGGACACCCCATGAATAAGAGAGTACCCATGGCTGCCCGCACACATCAACTCTGATGGGTCTTCATACTACAATAAACACTCTGTGATTCCCTTTGGTTCCCTGCTCCTTCCCCTTTTCTAGAATTTCGCCTGAGTTCCAGCTCCAATTCAAGCTATACTAAAGTACAAAATCGGAGGGGGAGATGAACCATGAGAGACTATGGACTCTGAGAAACAAACTGAGGGTTCTAGAGGGGAGGGGGGTGGGGGGATGGGTTAGCC